AGAGTTAGGGGTGCGCCAAATTACTTTTCTGATAAATGATCTCAAGTGTTCCTTCCTCTACTTTGGCTTCCCTCCCAGAAATTAAAACTTCGGGAAAATGGTAACGGACTCGTACTGACACCACCAGTCTGCACATATACTCTTTATCCCTGAGACGGGGTAGGCGTGGCATTCGAACATGGCACACTGGTTACTCGTGGGATATTTCAATTTCAGACAACCGCCATCTTGTTCTTTGTTGGAAAAAGACGTGACCACATTTGGGTCAAAATGAAAATGTCTTTCCAAGAGCACAGCCACCACGACGTTTAGTTGAAGTACGCAGCCACGCCTACCTCATCTCAGGGATTTCGAGTGTACTTATACGTTACGGCTTGAAACACTTACGGCCGACAAATCGGCGCCGATGCTTCGTGTGGCGAGTACCGTTCCGGAATATGGCACTGCATTAGTGGCGAGTCGGCTTTGATACGAATCCCGTAGTAGTGGTACTTAGAATTGCCTCGTGTGCCAAGCCGTCTAGTCCGTAGGCCGTTGAACACGGATCGGATCAGCTTTCCAAACGATGCCGCATTCACCGCATCAAGCTTGTGCTCATTACAGTGCCTGAAAAGATTGCGTTCTCTTATCTCGTAGTTTTGATTACCTCCATATAACAATGATTTGTAATAGTCAGGCAGAGGGCGGCAGAGTCAAACTGTTCAGAATAGTACACTCGCGTATACTCAGCGATTGTGGAATCGGTTCAACTTGCACAAGAATAGAATGCCATCTAATTCCGTAAAGGTGAAGTTTAGCTTTATCAGATAGAGGATTGAAGCTGGGAGACGATCTCAAAGGTACAGGTAGAAATGGCGACTAATATGAACCACAGCCCCTCTCCCCCACAAGTCGTGTTACTCGTACACTCATTTGTCTCCTTACAGACCACAAACTTTTGCCCATCTTTACTAAAATCCGGAGCGAACTCCAGTTTCTTCTATATGGAGTACTTCTTGTAATAGTTTCTTCTATGTGGAGTACTTCTTAAGAACTCCACTTCTATTGAGCATACAACATGGTCCCTCTGTGAGGAAATAAGTCAGTTTTCTAGCAAGGCTTTGAAAGAATTCCCGAAGAAAAAAGATCCCCTTATCTCGATGTGCCCAACCTCGAAGAGAACATACCTTACTCCCATGACACAACTAGTGACTTCCTCCCTCTACTCCCAGAGATACGCTCAACTCCTTGACTTTCTATCCCTTAGACTCAAGTATTCAGCTAGTGCTCCTCTTCTGCCTATCAACAGATTCGAGCGGCTAACGAGGAATCTTCTTTATTCTCCAAGGAACATTAATGTGTGGAATCCATTAGGCCTTCTTCATCAGGGCACAACATGTTCGTGTAAAATCCTTTAGGATCGAATTCGTTAGAAATGAAAAAATTCCTGACACTAATTTACCCCATTTCACGCACGCTATATGCATCCTTCTCTGGGTTGGTGAAGCTGCTAAACAATTATTTCTGATAGTTGCTTAGAGGTGCTAACGTTCCCCCCCCCCCCAACGTACAAAATCTTCAGGGAACCGTGGTGAGAGGGTGCATAGGTTGTGAACGGGGCTATACCGAAATGACTAGTGAAGCTTTAAAGGGATTAGCAAAGACTTTAACAGGGTGATACACCCTGTCTCCTTCGCCCATGCTCTTCTTGACCAACTGACAGTGTGCTCTTTCCATAGAGAGACGCACAGCAGTAGTTTTCACCCGCAAGGTCGAAAATGTTGTGGATGATTGCATGGAACAGTAACATTTCAGGATTTCTCCCGAGTTATCGCGTCCGATCGACCCTGGACGAAAGGGGCTCGCTTGAAGGCACTGGTTTACAGCGGAGTGTATTTTGCGCGTTTTGGTGGTTCAAAAAGCGTACTTCTGAAGCACTCGATAATTTTTTTCCGATGGGTTCGCCATTGCCCTACCTTCGTTTCCCAAATGCACCGAATTGCTTCGAATAAATTCATTGTCCTTCCCTACATATGCTGCCCTCCGTTGAATGCCATCAACGGCAGCGGGTGTCTCAATGAGTATGTTGCCCATGCACTCCGTTGCCCCTAGTAACGGCGTCCATGCCAAGATTTTGCTTCAAAGTAATTTCAGCAACTGTTTCATCCCAAAGAGAGAGTGACAGATATTATTGTTTAGGGTTACGAAGAAAGTTGCGATGGCAAGTTAGATGAGAACAGCTATGGACTTAAGACTTCACTTCTTGTAATGATCGTAAAGGGCACATCGCGGTAAGGAGGTGCCGTCCGCTGTCTCGTAGTTGTCAAGAAGCCATTGGATCTGAAAAAATAGCTTAGCAGATGGATTTTTTGTGACTCAGACTATTTATCTATAAAACCAATCAATATGGCATCACAGGCCAAAACTTCTCTAGTTAAAATATCTCCACTTGAACGAAACGTTTCTCTAGGAACAGGTTATTAGACAGTTCTACAGCGAGCGTGACAGGGTGAGAGCGACGCTTCGCAAACTCTTAAAGTACATTTTGTAGTGCCCTGGAATTTTTAAGTAGAACGCCATCTGGTTGTGGAAGGTGCGAAAAAACGATTCGAGCAGGGGTGTGAGGGTTTTTCGTACATTTCATATCCCAGAGATGGAGTGTCGTGGCTGCCTATTCCATTTGAGTGCGGCGGCAGCTACGCTTCTGAAGGGATTTTGCAGTTACAGAACAGTTTCGATCATGACTTTGTCCTGTACACGATAGGACAGTACCTGTATCAAATAGGAATATACCAGTACGTACGTAGTACGCACCCACGCCCACCCCATCGCTGGCAGTGTAAACGACGGGGGAGGAACGTCCGTGGTTTACCAAATTTATTTGTTAAAAAATGAAACTCGTAATATTACGAAAGCCTATAGGGATCTACACAGTTTACCAGAATGCCCTTCCCCTGCAGCCCACTGCCACATGGTTCCTGCTTACCAAAGAGGTGAACAGGTCACTATGGCCATTTGCAATGCCTTACGCATCTCGCGTACGCGCCTTGAGCCTTTCAACCCACATATACCTTCAAAATTCGCGGAACGGTTCTCTGAACTAAGTTATGGAGGTTTTTCTTACTGATTTGCTAGCGCCGAAGGGCCGGCACCTGCAGCGCGCGATTTCGCGCAAATCGGGCGCGACATTCGTGTTCAGCGGGTCAAATGGCAACGAGGCGCAAAATCTGAGGTTTTGTCCCATTTCGACGAGATGAGGTTGGCTTAGGAATAGCTGAATAACAGCTAGCAGTGATCCAGGTCTAGCCTAACATCGGCGACTGGTACTAGTCGAACTTCTAGTTGAATTCTTTCTTTGATCATGTTATTTCGCTTTTTGGCTTACGAGTTTGCATCATCTGCACCATTTCCCTGATTGCCGGCAAGAAATTCTATCCCAAGGACAGTAATGGTAAGTGAGCTGCAGGCTGCTGCTATCACACATAGTACACCCCTCATTTTGTTAGACAAGTCTCAGATTTGGCTGTGACGTGTCCTCAGGGTTAATTTGACCCGAAGAGGGTCAGACTAACCCTGAGGACACGTCACATTTCGGTGCGAAAACCCTTGTGACATGTTACGTGGGGGAAAAACACAATGTCCTTTTTAGGTCACGCGGAGTCTACACTTCTAAAAAACTGGTAGCAGACTCTCTTAAACAGGGTTCAGACTTCGCGACGGCAGGGCTTTAGTCGCGCGTTGGACGCGATTGACGCTGTCAAAAGCATGCACGATCGGTCGCGTCGAAGGCGCGAACGAAGCACTGCCGTCGTAAAGTCTGAACGCAGCCTTGAGGCGAATAACTACAACCAGCGATGTCAAGTGCATTGATGGTTGTGCTCGTAAAAATGCAAAATACCCCGCCCACACGGTTACCAATCCCATGACCTCCTGTCTACCTCCTGTCAGGCCAGTTGCGCTTCTTTGCTACGTTAAAGTATCTTCTCCTTATAAATGTAAAGACGCTTCCGAGCTTCCATGTGATAGAATGCAAAACAAAAGAACGCGGGGGAGACATTCCTCAGGAATCACCTTCAGAAAATCGTTTCGCAAGCTTTAAAGGAAGATCTAAGCTCACCGCCCCAAGACGGGTACGTCGGTGTGCAAGCATAACAAACGGCCGGA